TTTTTGGACTTTAAAAATTGCAACTTTTATTGAAATTCAAATTGTGTATGATTGAAGATTTAATTTTTTTTTAATAGGACTTGTGATTTTTTGTACTTGTATGACTTGTACTTCTTCTAGATTGCAAAACTTGTCAACTTTTTTTTCAGCGCAATCCAAAAAAATAACCTATTATATAGTTTTAATCAAAAATTTTAGATGCCTTAAAACGTACATGGGGGGAATCACGTCAACTGCCTTAGTGCCGCTGTGGACGGCCCACACGAGCGTAAAACACGACGTTTTCAGCTGGTCGATTTGGGCTTAAGAAGTTAATAAAAAAATTATAAAAATACATACTCTAGCGTATTTTTTCCTCAGCTTTTTAGTGGTGGCATCCGTTTAATAAAATTTTGTCTCCATAACCTTAAAAAATTCAAAAGTTAAAAAACCACGTTATATGTTTATGATCTTTAACTTTTGGCATTTCTAGGACAATCTAGATCGGACGGTTAAACTTTCTTACGTAGATATCGATAGTAAAAAAAAGGTGATTCTTGTTATAATGCGGTATTTAAACAATGAACGACACGGCGCCAGCCACTGCAGTTGCGCCAGCAGTGGGTCCGCCACGCGCCGTTTGCTACGGTCTTCTCAGCTGTATGTATTGGTGATGTAAGCAATAGTTACTTAACGAGGGCTTGCAATAAATAAGTAATAATTTTTTTGATAAAACTAATTTATATTTACAAGAATCTTATAATAATAAATAAATAGTAATGAATGTCTATAAAATATTTCACATTCACATTTGAGATGTATTCCGTCAAAAACGCACCAATATTTTACTTTGTTTTTGGCTTCTTTTTAATTACACTCGTTTTACGTCTTTTCAATTTTGGAAGGATTTAATATTAATTACTTAAAGATATTTTCTTGACCATTAATTTATTATCCTTAATGGGGATAAGCCCATGATAATTCAGTGTTCCCGGAATCTTTCTTGTACTAGAAATGTGTTTTTTCAGTTTTAAGGCAGTTTCTTAATAGTAACATTTGCTACTAAAAACAACTTTCGTTTCTTAATAGTGATTCTCTGTCCAGTTAAAAAGATCTTTCACCGTCAAAATGTGATTTCCTGCAGAGAGTTGCGAACTCGTCCTTCTAGCACCGTGTTTTATATATGCTTCTATCCCATCACACGTTTTTTTTCTGTAAGCGGTAGCGTGGAAATGCGACTCAGCTAAAATTCCAAAATTATTTCCGTGATTTACAAGAAGATGGAAATTAGATTTGTTTTTGAAGTGTTATGATTAGGTATATTTGCTTACATTCAGCTGGAGAGATGGTTGCAGACGGCTTGCGAAGGACCCACTGCTGTCGTGTTCGTTGTTAAAATACTACGTAAAAACGAAAAATCCCTCTTTTTTTATAATTGATATCTATGTAAAAAAGTCTAATTTTTCGATCACGATAGTCCAAATAATGCCAAAAGTTTAAGATCAACTTTTTTTCTTAACTTTTACATTTTTCGAGGTTATGGAGGCAAAATTCCAGAAAACGGATGCCACTACTGCAAACTAAGAGTATGTGTTTTGATAATTCTTGTATTAACGTTTTAAGACTGAAACAAAGAGTTGAAAACGTCATGTTTTACGCTCGTAAGGGCCGTCCGCAGCGGCACCGGGGCAGTTGACATGATACTCCCCATATTCTGTTCATCATCAAAATCATAATTGTCGTATTGGGACTGCACTCGTGGGACTTTCATTTTCTCGTGGTCGTAAAAGTTGACGTACTTATTGGCTTAGAATTGTTTGATACAAATAAATAATCATTGTTAGCGAAGAAAAGTTTAGAAGAAAAGAAATTAATGTATACAAAATTTCCTAACAAGTTGGCGTCACAAATTAGCTGATTTTTTTAAATAAATAGCTTAATTTCATATACGATATTTAAATTGAAAACTCTTACCTTAACTAATTGATCTTTTTTTGCTGTAATGGAGTTTGCAGTTTACAAAGTGGGAAAAAAATTACTCGAATGGACCATATTTTTCAGTTTTGAAATCGTCAAAATACACAAATTTCACGATAAAAATCTTGATTTATTGCGGTTGAAACCTATTTTTTCCAGATATGGAAATTCGATATTTTTTCGCACTGTTAAGACTATTGTTTTTTTTCGCACCAACGATACTTGTTATTATTAAACGCAAGAAAGCATTATTTTTGAACTATTCAGTAACTATAAAATTTCTTAAGCTACAAAAAATTTTGCAAGAAAAACTTATATTTTGGTAGTTGGAACTTATATATTTTAGCCTCAATGAAATTCGTGTTTTTTAAAGGTCGAAAAAAAGAGTTTATTTAACCACTAGTGAAGAAAATATAGTGCTAACCCCGGGGAAGCTGGTAAAATGCTTTTCTATGGGCAGTAAATGCGATTTTCAACAGTGAGGGAATGTTGCATTTTTTCCTCTGAAATCAGTGAAAAAAAGTCGCACTTTTGGCGTAGGAAAGAAATAAAATACATTTCCGCCCCTTGAATCAACTTCAAATTTTCCGAAACGCATACATTTCACAATAAAAATTATATTTTTGGAAGTCGGGACTCGTACTTATTTCTGTCTGAGTGACTTGTATTTTCCGCATCAGCGGGATTCCTCCTTTTTTTTAAGCAGTTATCTTGCACAATTTTTAGTTAAAAAATTTCCAAACCTATTTATTTTCGCCTGTCTTATTGTCCTGTAAGTGTTCAAAATATATATTTTTGACGATCGTAAATCTAATTTTTTCTTTCGAGATTTGTATTTTTTGGCACTCAATTTTCACCTTTCTTATTTTACTGTTAATGTCCCAGAAGATGTAATTTTGATGATGTAAAAAAAAAATTTTTTTCTGTCTGCACACCCACACTGGAAATGCTTTATATTTGCCGTGCTTCAAAATAGATAATCAGCTCTTTCAGCAAGGATATGAAGAAAAGTAGTATACGCACCAAGTTCAGAGGTTAAAAAATACTCAAGATTTCATGTTATCTACCCACATTTTTGCCTTGGGCGTTTATTTACATAAGATCTGCAACATTCCTAACCTTACTGACTAAGTGTGTAATATACCAATCCTTTAAGATTGTAATTTTATTTGCATGAATAGATAATCTCTCTATTGACATTCTTGATCAAATAGCAAGGTAGAACTTTTTACATTGCTGTAGCCAAGGCACCACTTTGTTTTAATTGCTGCGTATGATAAATTTTTTACACTCTAGTTGTTTTAGTTATAAAAATAATGAGTTGCTTTTGCATATTCACTTCTTAATGTAGAATTTGGATGAGGATGTTATCTATTTAAATAAAAATCACTGCCTAAAAAAGCAGATAATTGCCAGCTAACAAATCATTTATCACAAAGAACTAATAGTTACAAAAATTGCGTTGATAATAAATTTTGAACGTTTTAATTTATATTTACGTTTTACAAATTTTAGCCATAGTTACTGCCTACATATTACTACAAAGCTTCCTGAAGCGTAAGGGTCGCCATACATTAGAAATGAAAAACATTTGAAGCCTTTGATTATAAAAATCTGTCAAGGTGCATCTCATATATACAATTATTATGCAATTTAGTATTATTTAACCTATTTTTTTTAACTACCATAAATAATTAATGATGCATCTTTTTTTTAAAGGATTTTATTTATTGAAGGTAAGGTAACAATTTTTCTTACGTTTATAAAAAAAAAAAAAAAAATCGAGTGCAGCGTTTAATGGTGTTTACATTTTATAAAGCACGAATATAAACATTTGACAATAGATACCACAAATTTTCATAAAATAAAACACTTCTACAAAGTGAAAAATTAATTTTTCCGCCCTCGGATGGTTTTGGGAGGCTGGTACTTCCTTGGGCGAAAAAGCAGTTTTCCGAAACTTGTTCGAAAAGTCTCCTTTACGAACCTCGTTACGTCCCTCGCCTTCGGCTCGGGCCACAAACCTCTTGGTTCGCAAACAGAGACTTTTCAAACTCGTAGGAAAACTACTATTATTACCATAGCTACAAAATGCAATTGCCACTTTGCGTACTTGAAACAATTTTGTGCATAGGCAAAAAATAGGCTCACGGGGACAAAATATCACTTTACGCCTTCTGTAAAAAAAACATACGATTTACACGCAAACTCGAGTAATACTGTTTTAGTAGTTAATGCACCAAAATCTTTAAAATGCCTTGAAACGTTTTACAATAAATACTACATAATTATTTATAAAATGTCACGTATGTAAAATACGGATTTACTTGTAACGTACGTACTTTTTTTCTAAAACTCCAGTTGCAAGTACACAAATATAAATGATTATACAAAAATGAGAAAAGTTCGAGGTAAAGTTTACAGGAATAAGGAAATTTTTTTTGAAAACACGTCTTTGGAAAATTTGTGTACATTGTAGGTTTACGACAAAAAAACTAACATTTTGTAAATTAATTTGGTTAACAGTACTTTTTTTTAAAAGTATTAAATGTGAAATTACATTTTTTAATTGTTTTCCCTCTTGTCGTTATGACTTAAAATAAAAATTGCAGTGTGTCCGAAAAAAAAACAAAGCGCTTAAAATTTTAGCTATTTTATTACCAAAAAATAAATATATTAAGCGTATGCCTAAATAACGGTTTTTTTTTCTTATAAAAGTCTTTGTGCACTCTTCCGGAACATGGAAAAATGTGTTTTTGATCGTTAAATGCTTTAAAAGTAATTATTTTCCATGCTTTTTGCCTTAGAATTGTGATTTAAAATTATATACAATACATTACAGATGAGCAGCTNAAAAAAAAAAAAAAAAAAAAAAAAAAAAAAAAAAAAAAAAAAAAAAAAAAAAACATATGGAACTTTCTGAGATTAAAGTCCTTCAATCGAACTGTCAAAGTGTACAAAATAAACTCCATTACCTAAAAAACTGCGCTAACGAATATGATATCATCCTCTTATGCGAAACCTGGCTCTACGATGACTTCCAGATAAACATCCCTAACTTTCAAATCATTCGCAAAGACAGACAAGTAGGACAACATGGTGGTCTCGCCATTCTAATTGAACAAAACATCAAATATAAAGCCAAAACAGCTATATTCAACATTGACCACAAGATTGAAACACTGGCTATCTCGATCCCTATCATCAACAATAATAGATCTTCCCAAGACCAACTGTTAATAGTCTCTTTATACCATGTACCTAACACAATAATCAGCTCCAATGAATGGAACAACCTACTTGACGCCAGTAAAAACTATCAGTTCTCTCTTATTGCTGGTGATTTTAATGCCCACTACCCCCTTGGGATTTCCACAAATCTTGTACCTCAGAAAATAATCTGCACGACTCCCTACATAACTACAATCTAGTGTTTTTGGATGATGTTACACCCACTCACTTCTATAATCCCTCACATATCCCAAATTCAAGCACGAACACCCTTCACTTAACATCTCCTCTAGATCTCACTTTCGTGTCACCTAACTTATCCACTTCTACCTCTTAGAAAGTTCTTCCCGATAACATGACCAGTAACCACTTTCCAATTAAGTACTCACTCCTGATAAAATTAAATACTATATACCATTTTCTCTCACCCACAAACTCAATTACAAACAAATTAACTGGAGACAGTACTTTACAATTGTAGACAAATCCATCCAACAACATTCAGTTTTAACAAACTCTTTAACCCCTGCAGAAAAATACAATGTTATAATAAATCTAGCAACATCTACCATACAACATCTCTCCACCAAAAAACCTTCCCACCCCTCATCACCCCAAATACCTACTGACCTATCCTCTCTTACTAAAATTCTCAATCCCATTATAAGGAAACGATTTAGTCTTCGCCCACAAGAAGCCCCATGGTGGAACGATGAATGTTCTTAGCTAACAAAAAACAGAAGCCTTGCTTCAGCAAACCTACTAAAAAATCCCTCATGTGAGAATCTTCATATCCTTAAAAAAACCGAAAAATATATGAAACACAAACTTCATAATATCAAAAAAGCCAAATTCGGCAACTACATAGAAACTGCACTCTCTCGAGACTCCGACGATCGAACTATCTGGAACACCATTAACAAATAAAAAAAACTTTATCAACAACTCATCTAATATAAAGTACTCCTATAACGACGCAGAACTTATCCAAAACCCTAAGAAATTTATTAAAAACGTTTGCCCCAACACTGACATTTTTCAAACTGATTCTCCCTCTACCTTCGACCTCAACAAGCCAGCTGACCCACGCTACAGCTTTCTTGACTCTCCTTTCACCCCTACAGAGTTCAATTTAGCATTAAGTTCGATGAAACAAAACTCTTCTCCTGGCCTCGACCAAATCGACTACAAAATACTCCTAAACTCCCCACCCTCCTTTCATACTATCCTTCTCGAATCCAATTATCACTTCTTCCAGAATGGCCAGTTCCATGAATCATGGAAAAAATTTCTTATTGCTCTCATTCCCAAAAACCCTAACCCCCAATGCCGCCCGATCTCCCTGGCTTCTTGCACCTTAAAACTTACAGAAAGAATGATCAACACACGCCTATACCACTTCACTGAACAAAATTTTCTCCTTCCAAACTTGTAAATGGGATTCCGTAAAAATAAATCATGCCAGCATGCCCTGGCTTTCCTAATTATCGACATTCAATATGCAATCTCAAACAATCAATATACTTGCTGCTGTTTCATAGACATTAAATCAGCCTTTGACGAAGTCTACCCATCTATCCTTAACAATATCCTCTCAGACCTTAAAATACCAGTCAAAACAAGAAAATTCATCTTCAACTTAATGACCCACAAAGAGCTTTATTTCAAAGTTGCCAACAACCTGGAAGGACCTTACTACAAAAGCACTGGTTTTCTCGAAGGCTGTGTACTCAGCCCATTACTGCACAACTTGTACTTTCTTCAAATTGATAAGATCTCCCTTGACCCTGCCGTCCAAATCCTCCAATATGTGGACGACACAGTGATATACACTACCGACAACAACATACCATCAGCCACTACCAAACTTAACTCCTCTCTCAGCAAACTGAACGATTTCTATAACACTCTTAACCTACCCATCTCCGACCAAAAAACTCGCTTTACCATATTTTGTCAAGACGAAGCTATATGTGACTCTAACCCATCCTTCACTCTTAACAACACAGACATACCCACAGTTGAATCCATCAAATACCTTGGCCTCACATTCAATCATAAACTTTCTTGGAATTCACATCTCAAAAACATCATTGGTAAAGCCTCCCGGCGTATCAACATCATGAAATCCCTTTGCGGCACCTGGTGGGGTGGACATTTTTCTATCCTCCTAAAAATTTACACTAGCCTGATTCGCTCAACCCTCGAATATTCACTCTCCCTTACCCACATTTTTAACATCTCTTTACTCAATAAAATACAAAAATCCAAAACCAATGTTTAGGAATTGCCCTTGGCTATTGAATCTCTACCCCCATTAACGTCCTGCACGCCAAATCCAAAATTCCTTTTTTTTTACCTCAGAATAAAACCCCTCTCTGATCACTTCATCCTTAATCTACTAGCTCAATACAACTTACCCTTACTTAAAAAGATCAGATCCTTAAATGACGTCCTCCCTAAACAATCCTTAAAAAATCCAACCTTTTAAAATCCTACAACTCAATTTCACCCTTAACATTTAATTTAATGAAATCACACACCACTCCCCTCCAAAACTCGTTTAACTATCCTATAACCATCCACTCTCCAGTCACAGACCTAGAATCTGGCCTACTAATAAAAAATTCCCCCGATCCTCACTCCCTATTTAACAAACTCTTCCACTTAAACTCTACTAATAGTTAACATATCTTTACAGATGCTTCAAAATCCCCCCAAATTAATTTTTTTGGCCTTTCTTTTCTTATTCCAAGCACATGTACCACCGGCAAATCTAAACTCACCTTAAGAGCGTCTATCTTCACAGCAGAAGCACTTGCAATACTCCTTGCCATTAATCACATCCAAAACCTACCCATAAATAATATCATCATCTTTTCAGACTCACTCAGTGTACTAAAAGCTATAAAAAGTTACTTCCCAATCAAAAATAAATATACATCATACCTAATCCTTGAAATAAAAAATCTAATTTACCTCAACACTATAAATAATAAGAATATCTCACTGGTCTGGATTCCTTCTCACAAAAATCACTGCTTGATAGGCCTCCTTGATTTCTTGGCTCATATTCTGTTAGAAAGTATTCAGAAATAATAATTTTTTCATCATAAGGGCTTGAGTTAATGCTTAGAGCCCACAGAGGATGCTCTGTTTTATTGTCTGTAACTGCATCTAAAAACAAGTGATTACGTATTCAAGAGAATAAGATTCTCATGGAACATATTTTTAACAGTATAAGAAATTTAGTATCCTCGGAACTCGTTGTCAATTTGGTAGAAGTACGAATTCCAATAATTTTTTGGACTTGTTGCACTATTAAAGTTGCGATGCCTTATGAGCTTGGTGACTTGGGCAGAAGAGGTGCTATCTATTTAATAAGGTTTATGTTTATAGATAATTTTTTTCAGACGCATATGTATACATATATAGTTGTTTTAAGTGGATTCAGCCTCTAACCCCCTCCATGCCACTCCATTTCCCTCCATTCCCCTCTAAGTACTTTGTTATTCATTAGTTCTCTTGCTTTCTTGTCTATTGAATTACATCCTCCTCCATTCCTATGCGTCCCCCATAAATCCCCCACCCGACCCCCATCCCCATTTTACTTTTAAACAACCTCAAAAGCTTAGAAAATGATTTCGTTTTGTTGGGTAGCTGTTTTGATTACGCCAATTAATTCAAGTATTGTACAAGAGACTTCGATATATTTTTAAGAAGGCTTTAACTTGTATCGTAGTAAAATTTTTTATAACAATATTCTGTAATAATGAAGAAAAATAAGCTATTTGTGTACCAAAATAGTAACTTATATCAAAAACATTGTACATTATTACTTTTAAAAGTTAAGATTTTCATTTGTCTTTCTAAGTTTTCTAACATTGAAGAACCTTTTCTACATTTTGTACAAATTTTTTTGATTTCACATTAACTGTGAATTTTTATGTGTCTGTTTAAATGCGTTGATCTCGTGAATTTTTTCTTACACTGAATGCATGTGCTTTTTCCAAGCTGTGCTTCTTTAAATGTCTAACATAATTCTATTTTAAAATAAATACTATTTTACAAGTATCAAAAACGTATAATAATTTCTTATGTGTCTTCTAAGAGGTGTGATTAGAGGGGGTGCGCAAAATAAAAACAAGTATTTTAAAGTAAGACAAAACGTTTATTTAATTTAACTGCCGACCGACGTAAAACACAACTAAATTAATACAGTTTACAGACTTACTACTGACAAAACTGACAGAGACAATAAAGAAAGCTGAGAAGAGGTGTAGAAGGCACGGTAGCTTACACTGTACTGACTCTAGGGCCCGCAAGTATCACCTTGCCTGTAGCGCTGTCTTAAACACTATAAATACTGCCTATCAAAAAGTCGTACATGCCAACACTTCCTTCCGACTTAGGATAGCTAAGTATATTAAACAAAAATTGTAATTCAAAAAAGATACAAAGAACAATTGTTTTTTTTTTTTTTTTTTTTTTATAAAATAGATAAATGTGTGTTTTTGACTCGGCTCCACAGCTCTAAGAATGCACCCAAGCAGTCCATGAGTTGGTACATAGCTCCTTTATCGCTTATCCGAAACATAAACAACTTATTAGTTACCAAACAGAGTCGCACAAGCTGTCCGCGATTCTGCTAGCAAATTTTTTTATGGAGCTCAATCGGTAGAGGTTTTGTGAATATATCGGCCATTTGTTCTTTAGTATTTAGCCATCCGACGTTTACTTTACCATAATTTACACATTCTTCAACATAATGCTCATGAATTTCTGTCATGTGTCTTAATTTACCACTGCCTATAACTTTAGCATTTTGCTCAGCTGCCTTATTGTCGCACCATAGATCTGCCGGACACAAAGTATTATTCAGTGCGATTTAATTCGAATTATCAACTGCCATGAGTTCTCTACATGCTTCACTCAGTGACACATACTCTGCCTGACATGTTGACACAGAGACATACGTTTGTTTGTGAGTTCTCCATGCCACTGAGTCTCCAAAGATTTAAATCACGTAACCACTTGTGGTTAAAGACCCTTTACAGTTGCCAAAACTGGCATCGGAGAATGCATCCAGCCTTTGCTGCCTTCCACAGTATCTTAGACCATAAGATTTGGTCCCTGCCAGATACCGAAACACACTTTTAACCATATTCCAGTCTTCATTAGTCGGACTTATTTGATGCCT